TTTGGTGTACCTTTGCATCTGGTGTAACCTTTTCCAGCAGGATGGTAAATAGGTCACACGAGAGGCTGTCACCTTGTCTGAACCCTCGTTCGGTATGGAAGGGCTCCGAGTGGTCCTTTCCGGCTCTAACTGCTGACCTTGTGCCAGTTAAAGTTATCCTGCATAGCATTATTAATTTTGCAGGAATGCCGAACGCAGACATTGCTTTAAACACCTCTGAGCGGATAGGGCAGTCAAATTCAGCTTCATATTCGACAATTCGACATTCTATTGTGTATAGGATGGTTAAAATGGCATTGAAAATGAGATATATCAGTTCACGTTTTGGTACAGCCGTTATTTAATGGTACCTCCCTATATTCGGTATTTTGATGATTTTCGCAACATTTATTTTATCACAGATTTGTCTAAAAATTGACATTTGTAGGTCATATTGGATTCTAGCTCCTGTGGCAGAACTTGGAATATTTAGGTCCATGTTTTCCACATATAAATTGTTTTGTAAAAATGCAAGAGTCAAGATCAAAAGAGAAAAATTGTCGCTAATAAACTCACTTTGTCTAAAACAGAATTAATTTGCAGATGTTTCAAAATAACTTCTAAAAATATTTTCAAGAAAAAAAATGTTTTTTTTTACCTTTTTATTTTAAATATATTTTTCTTACCGGTGAATATGGCGTGAATTGGCGATTTGAAAAAAACAATCATTGATAATCCAACCAACCACATCAACGTAGAATTATAAGAGCACTTGGTTACCCAGCAAACAATAAATATTTATTGTTTGTCGTATGTTTAATTTGTTTTTAACTTTTGCATTAATTATAAATAAAATATAGCCCTTTGACCTAAAGAATTTTTAATAAACAAATTATTGATTTGATAAGACATTTAGTAATTAGAAAAAGTATTATTAGTTATATAGATTTGAAACCCTATTAAAGAAAGACCTTGAAATGATTTCTTGAATAATATATTCTATATATTCTTTATATTCTTTAATATAATATATTAATATAATATATTCTATATATTCTTTAAAACTTAAGATTATAGCTCAGACAGATTCCGACAGGCTGGGCTTTATAACCCAAAAAGTTTATTAACTGGTTCTGAAGAAATCATTTTAAAAAGCGAACTGTTATTTATATAGCCGTCCTAGTTCTCAAAGTCCTCATTTTTTTGTCTATAGAAATTTACGGTTATGTTTATGCCCAGAGAAATCATTCCAAATAAATCCAAGACATTGGCACAGTTCTTGAAAAAATTCATACTTAAACGATTGTGGTCAGACGGTCATTGAAAATATTGCCCGAAAAAATTGTTTTTTTTTTTTCAACTGCACGATTATGACTTAGAGGGTCCTGGAATAATTTTTCTGAAAAAAAAAAATGAAAAAAAAAAAAAAAACATGTGGATTGTGACTGATTGACATTTTTTTGCATCAAAAAGTCAGGAACAACTCTAGTTTAAAAAAACTCTCGATTTTTTAAATTATTTCCATAGGTAGGTATTTGTGACCATATTCCGGGAAAGTATTTTGTTTCTTTGGAGACAGACCCGGAAGCCTGGGATATTTGAACCAAAAATATAGGTCTAAGACCAGGGTAACCTCAGACCTACTAAACCGACATGGACAATTTAATTATAAATTGAAAGCTAATTTTATATTTTGCGGAACACGAAAATGGACATTTTTTTTTAATTTGGTGTTTTTTTATAAAAAAAATAGGGTCAAAAAATCTGCAATTTTGATATAACTGTCGAATCGTTTTATATAACCCCTTCATGTGACTACTTGGATAGGTATATTGATTAGTTTTCAAACTATACCTATATTGCCCATATCGTACCTACTAAGTACGGGTCTAACCCGAGTCTGGGAGCCGGTCTTTTGTGTCAAATATCCGGGTATCCAGGTCCGTCCCCCAAGAAAAAATATTCATGAAAAAATCCATAATTGTTGAAATAATATTCCTAAAACAATCCTCAGATATAGCTTGAATATACATATATAATTATTTGTTTAAATCAATGAATATAACTCATGTTGCTCTTGAAAATAATATTTTAAATCCACATGTGTGTAAAGCAATGAAGGATTTTAAAATTTCTCACAAAATGTACAAATAGAGCAACGTCTAGAAAAAAATGTAAATAGAGCAACGTCTAGACTTCAATTCAAAAATCAGAAAAATCATGTGTATAGATCAAGTCATAGCATTTCGTAGGCTTTATTCTTGGCTCTAAAAAAATTAATAAATATTCATTTTTACATAGCTAAGTCTAGGCTTCGAAAAATTCTTATAAGGTATATATCCAAAGGCCGTAGTTTTTTTTTTTTTGAAAATTCATTTAAAAAATTGATTTTTCGTCAAGGTTTTAGGAACTAATTAGCGTTTGTAGACCAGGCTTAGAAAGCTATTTTAAAAATCTACGCGGAGCTTGGTATCGGCTTAAAAAAATTTGTTTAAAAATTACGTTCTTAGTGCTGGAATTTGGCATAGGAAAATATTAAAAAAATACGTTTGTGAATCATAAACAATTCATGTTTTCAGGTAGTAATCTAATCTGTTCTAGGCTTGGAAATAAGTTTAAAATTTCACATTCATAGAGCTGGGTTTAAGTGCTGGGTCTGGGCTTAGATTTTTTTTTAAGTCCACGCCAAGGGTTAGAATTTATTTTTTTCAAAACCAGGTTTACAGTGCTGGCTCCAAAATTATGATCTATTTTTTTAATCCACGTTTAGAGAGCTTGTTGTAGGCTTAGAAAAATATTTAAATATTTCAAAAAAGAAGAGTATAAGATTTGGAAACTTAAAAAAAAATCATGTTTGAAATGCTAAAAATTCATGTTTATTTTTTTTTGTCTACGCTTCAAAAATATTTTTAAGAAAAATCCTACAAAATAACGATTATAAAAATTATTAAAATAATCTCGTTTGTAACCCTACTCTTGGCCTTGTAAAAAAGACCAGATTTATATGCTAAGAACAAATATTAGAAACTCCCCGTATATATTCCATATGCCAGACTTTGAAAAAAAATTAAAAATATGCCCTTAAGACCCTTAGTCGAGACTACGATAAATTCTTAAAAAATCTATGTTTGTAGTATTTTTTTAGATTTTTAAACCCGCCTTGGTTGACTTTGAATAATTCTTCAAAAAATCCACGTACATTAAGCTTACTTTACGTTTTCAAAAATTCTTATAAAGTCCATGTCTAGTGGGCTGCATCTACGATTTGAAAATTCTTAAATCAAACCACATTTATTGAAATGAGCCTAGGCTTAGAAAATTATTTGAAAAATCGACGTTTCTAGAGATGGAACTAGGCTTTGAAAAATATTTAACAATATCGTCGATTATAGAGACAGGTCTTGGAATTAAAAAAGAATATTTGAAGAATACACGTTCATAGAGTTGGGACTAGGCTTTGAAAATATTTAAAAAAGTCCTCGTTTATAGAGACTTTGAAAATATTTTAAAAAAATCCACGTTTATAGAGACTTTGAAAATATTTAAAAAAAAATCCTCGTTTAAAGATACGGGTCTAGGATTTGAAAAATATTTTAAAAAAATCCTCGTTTAAAGATACGGGTCTAGGATTTGAAAAATATTTTAAAAAAATCCTCGTTTAAAGATACGGGTCTACACTTTGAAAAATATTAAATAAATTCACGTTTATAGATACGGGTCAAGGCTTCGAGAAATATTTAAAAATAATTCAAAAAGCAACGTTTATAGAGACGGGTCTAGGCTTTGAAAAATATTTAAAAAATCCGCGTTTATAGAGACTGGTCTAGGCTTTGAAAAATATTCGAAAAAATCCACGTTTAGGGACGGGTCTACGCTTTGAAAAATATTTTAACGTTTATAGAGAGGTGTCCTGGGTTTAAAAAATATTTAAAAAATCCACTTTTATAGAGACGGGTCTAGGCTTTGAAAAATATTTAAAAAATCCATGTTTATAGAGTCTTTGAAAAATATTTAAAAAATCCAAGTTTATAGAGTCTTTGAAAAATATTAAAAAAAAATCCACGTTTATAGAGTCTTTGAAAAATATTAAAAAAATACACGTTTTTAGAGTCTTTGAAAAATATTTAAAAAAATTCACGTTTATAGAGTCTTTGAAAAATATTTAAAGAAATCCACGTTTATAGAGTCTTTGAAAAATAAAAAACATTTGAAAAAAAATTCCACGCTTATTGAGACGGGTTTAGGATTTAAAAAAATATTTCAGAAATCGAAGTTTCAAAAATTTATTTTATAGAGTTGTTGAGTTGAGTTCGGCTTAGAAAAAATCCACTTTTGTAGAGTTGAGTTTCGACTTAAAAATTTCTGGACAAAATCCAGTTCTGTAGAGTCGAATTTTGACTTAAAAAAAATCTAAAAAATCCTCGTTTATGGAACTGAATCTAGGCTTAGAAAAATGTTTAAAAAATCCACGTTTAAGGGGCTTAGCCTAGGCCTAGAAAAATATTTTTAAAATATTTTTTTTATTTAATTATATTTTATTTTATTTTTTTATTTAAAAACCCACGATTATAAATCTAGGACTAAAAAATATAAAAATATATTTTTTTAAAAATTCAAGAATATAAAGCTGAGACTAGGCTTAGAAAAATGTTTAAAAAAATTACGCTATGAGAATTGTGTCTAAGTTTAAAAAAATCTCAAAAAATTCACATACAGAAGGTTTATTCTACGATTTAAAAATCGTTTCTAAAACTGAGTGTTGGCTTGGAAAAATCTTTAAAAAATAAACTAGCACGTTTGTAGAGCTCTTGATATATATTTTTTATTGAGTTCTTCATATATTTTTCAAAAGATCCCAAATTAAAGCTTTAGGAGTTGTTAAAACAATTTTTCATAACCCATGCAATTTTTCTCAAAAAATCCCAATAATATTTTCGGAAATTGTTAAACAATTTTCATAAAAATCCATGATTATGACTCTGCTGGCTCCTAAAAATATCATTTAAAAATCCGCTACACAATTATTTAAATCTTCCTTTTATTAAATGTCTCCAAACGGTTCACAAACTCCCTAAAACCATTTTTCTTCAAAATCTTTACAACATTTTGATGTTCCGCCGATGAACTCCTCCCTGCCTCCCGATACTTTTCCACAATATTCGAAAAAGTTTTGCTATATTGAAATTCCTTAGCCAAACGATCACCACGATTTGATTTCAAATTTTCCGCTTCGTTTAGAAATTTACGAAATAATTCACGATCTGCGTCGTAGCCCTGGCCTGCGGGCAGTTGGGGTAAAGTACTGCGTATTATTTGTTCGATTTCATCGCCGAGCAATTTCTCTTCACGTTCAACGGCCGCAATCAAATCCAGTTCAGCGGAATCCGAATCATGGACATTGCCAGAGTAAGGCAAAGGTTGACAGCTGAGACACTAATTTTAGAAAATTAAAGAAAAAGGTTAACACGAAATTTATTGGTTCAACGGCAATCAGAAGGAGAATATCTATATGTTCTTTGTCTCCCACCTTGAGCAGTAGCAGAAAAAATGGAATCCAATTTGAATAATACATTTCAAAGGCGGCAATACCCCTGTCTCTTCTCGCGGAGCTTTGAATGGAAACTAAACCAAAAAAAATCTTATCTGAAAAATATAGAAAAAAATGTTTTTTTTGTTGTATTGAAATTATGGCTGCATGGGAGGGATTATCGTTTTGACCCCCTCCAATGAGATTGCAGTTTCTTCGTGAGTGTGTTACACTTGCTTATTAGAGCGCCAAGTGTTCTATTTAAATATAAAATGTAGAGTTTACAATCGAGGCACAGTGGGGTAAAAATATATTTTTGGGGAACTGAACTCAGTTCTAGAAATGAGGATTTTTAAACATTTTTCTAAGCCTGGACACAGTTCCATAAACGTGGATTTTTTAAACATTTTCTTAGCCTAGATTCAGTTCCATAATCGTGGATTTTTTAAACATTTTTCTAAGCCTAAACTCAGCTCTATAAACGTGGATTTTTTAAACATTTTTCTAAGCCTAGATCCAGTTCAAGAAACGTGAATTTTTTAAATATTTTTCTAAGCCTAAACTCAGCTCCATAAACGTGGATTTTTTAAACATTTTTCTAAGCCTAGATCCAGCTCAAGAAACGTGGATTTTTTAAAAATTTTTCTAAGCCTAGATCCAGCTCAAGAAACGTGGATTTTTTAAACATTTTTCTAAGCCTGGATCCAGTTCAAGAAACGTGGATTTTTTAAACATTTTTCTAAGCCTAGATCCAGTTAAAGAAACGTGGATTTTTTAAACATTTTTCTAAGCCTAGATCCAGTTCAAGAAACGTGGATTTTTTAAACATTTTTCTAAGCCTAGATCCAGTTCAAGAAACGTGGATTTTTTAAATAATTTTCTAAGCCTAGATCCAGTTCAAGAAACGTGGATTTTTTAAACATTTTTCTAAGCCTAGATCCAGTTCAAGAAACGTGGATTTTTTAAACATTTTTCTAAGCCTAGATCCAGTTCAAGAAACGTGGATTTTTTAAACATTTTTCTAAGCCTAGATCCAGTTCAAGAAACGTGGATTTTTTAAACATTTTTCTAAGCCTAGATCCAGTTCAAGAAACGTGGATTTTTTAAACATTTTTCTAAGCCTAGATCCAGTTCAAGAAACGTGGATTTTTTAAACATTTTTCTAAGCCTAGATCCAGTTCAAGAAACGTGGATTTTTTAAACATTTTTCTAAGCCTAGATCCAGTTCAAGAAACGTGGATTTTTTAAACATTTTTCTAAGCCTAGATCCAGTTCAAGAAACGTGGATTTTTTAAACATTTTTCTAAGCCTAGATCCAGCTCAAGAAACGTGGATTTTTTAAATAATTTTCTAAGCCTAGATCCAGTCAAGTAACGTGGATTTTTTAAATAATTTTCTAAGCCTAGATCCAGCTCAAGAAACGTGAATTTTTTTAAACATTTTACAGTTCAAGAAACGTGGATTTTTTATAACATTTTTCTAAGCCTAGATCCAGTTCAAGAAACGTGGATTTTTTAAACATTTTTCTAAGCCTAGATCCAGTTCAAGAAACGTGGATTTTTTAAACATTTTTCTAAGCCTAGATCCAGTTCAAGAAACGTAGATTTTTTAAACATTTTTCTAAGCCTAGATCCAGTTCAAGAAACGTGGATTTTTTAAACATTTTTCTAAGCCTAGATCCAGTTCAAGAAACGTGGATTTTTTAAACATTTTTCTAAGCCTAGATCCAGTTCAAGAAACGTGGATTTTTTAAACATTTTTCTAAGCCTAGATCCAGTTCAAGAAACGTGGATTTTTTAAACATTTTTCTAAGCCTAGATCCAGTTCAAGAAACGTGGATTTTTTAAACATTTTTCTAAGCCTAGATCCAGTTCAAGAAACGTGGATTTTTTAAACATTTTTCTAAGCCTAGATCCAGTTCAAGAAACGTGGATTTTTTAAACATTTTTCTAAGCCTAGATCCAGTTCAAGAAACGTGGATTTTTTAAACATTTTTCTAAGCCTAGATCCAGTTCAAGAAACGTGGATTTTTTAAACATTTTCTAAGCCTAGATCCAGTTCAAGAAACGTGGATTTTTTAAACATTTTTCTAAGCCTAGATCCAGTTCAAGAAACGTGGATTTTTTAAACATTTTTCTAAGCCTAGATCCAGTTCAAGAAACGTGGATTTTTTAAACATTTTTCTAAGCCTAGATCCAGTTCAAGAAACGTGGATTTTTTAAACATTTTCTAAGCCTAGATCCAGTTCAAGAAACGTGGATTTTTAAACATTTTTCTAAGCCTAGATCCAGTTCAAGAACGTGGATTTTTTAAACATTTTTCTAAGCCTAGATCCAGTTCAAGAAACGTGGATTTTTTAAACATTTTTCTAAGCCTAGATCCAGTTCAAGAAACGTGGATTTTTTAAACATTTTCTAAGCCTAGATCCAGTTCAAGAAACGTGGATTTTTTTAACATTTTCCAGTTCAAGAAACGTGGATTTTTTTTAACATTTTTCTAAGCCTAGATCCACTTCAAGAAACGTGGATTTTTTTAACATTTTTCTAAGCCTAGATCCACTTCAAGAAACGTGGATTTTTTAAACATTTTTCTAAGCCTAGATCCAGTTCAAGAAACGTGGATTTTTTAAACATTTTTCTAAGCCTAGATCCACTTCAAGAAACGTGGATTTTTTAAACATTTTTCTAAGCCTAGATCCAGTTCAAGAAACGTGGATTTTTTAAACATTTTTCTAAGCCCAGATATTGCTCTGGAAACGTGGATTTTTTAAACATTTTTCTAAGCCCAGATATTGCTCTAGAAACGTGGATTTTTTAAACATTTTTCTAAGCCCAGATATTGCTCTAGAAACGTGGATTTTTTAAACATTTTTCTAAGCCTAGATTCAGTTCCATAAACGTGGATTTTTTAAATATTTTTCTAAGCCCAGATATTGCTCTGGAAACGTGGATTTTTTAAACATTTTTCTAAGCCCAGATATTGCTCTGGAAACGTGGATTTTTTAAACATTTTTCTAAGCCCAGATATTGCTCTAGAAACGTGGATTTTTTAAACATTTTTCTAAGCCCAGATATTGCTCTAGAAACGTGGATTTTTTAAACATTTTTCTAAGCCCAGATATTGCTCTGGAAACGTGGATTTTTTAAACATTTTTCTAAGCCTAGATTCAGGATTTTTTAAACATTTTTCTAAGCCTAGATTTAGTTCCATAAACGTGGATTTTTTAAACATTTTTCTAAGCCTAGATCCAGCTCAAGAAACGTGGAGTTTTTAAACATTTTTCTAAGCCTAAATTCAGTTCCATAAACGTGGATTTTTTAAACATTTTTCTAAGCCTGGACTCAGATCCAGAAACGTGGATTTTTTAAACATTTTTCTAAGTCTAGATCCAGTTCTAGAAACGTGGATTTTTTAAACATTTTTCTAAGCCTAGATCCAGTTCAAGAAACGTGTATTTTTTAAACATTTTTCTAAGCCTAGATCCAGTTCAAGAAACGTGGATTTTTTAAACATATTTCTAAGCCTGGACTCAGTTCTAGAAACGTGGATTTTTAAACATTTTTCTAAGCCTGGACTCAGTTCTAGAAACGTGGATTTTTAAACATTTTTCTAAGCCTGGACTCAGTTCTAGAAACGTGGATTTTTAAACATTTTTCTAAGCCTGGACTCAGTTCTAGAAACGTGGACTTTTAAACATTTTTCTAAGCCTGGACTCAGTTCTAGAAACGTGGATTTTTTAAACATTTTTCTAAGCCCAGATATTGCTCTAGAAACGTGGATTTTTTAAACATTTTTCTAAGCCCAGATATTGCTCTAGAAACGTGGATTTTTTAAACATTTTTCTAAGCCCAGATATTGCTCTAGAAAAGTGGATTTTATAAACATTTTTCTAAGTCTAGTTTCAGTCTCATAAACGTGGATTTTTTAAACATTTTTCTAAGCCTAGTTTCAGTCTCATAAACGTGGATTTTTTAAACATTTTTCTAAGCCTAGATTTAGCTCTAGAAACGTGGATTTTTAAAACATTTTTCGAAGCCTAGTTTCAGTCTCATAAACGTGGATTTTGTAAACACTTTTTAAGCCTAGATTTAGCTCTAGAAACGTGGATTTTTAAAACATTTTTCGAAGCCTAGTTTCAGTCTCATAAACGTGGATCTTGTAAACACTTTTTAAGCCTAGTTTCAGTCCCATAAAAGTGGATTTTTTAAACATTTTTCTAAGCCTAGTTTAAGTCCCACAAACGTGGATTTTTTAAACACTTTTCTAAGCCTAGATATTGCTCTAGAAACGTTGATTTTTTAAATATTTTTCTAAGAACTCAGTTTTTGAAATGTGGATTGTTTGGAAATTTTTTTGAGCCTAGGCTCGGCTTTTATATTTTGGATTTTTTTTAGGAATTTTTCAAAGTCTAGATTAATTCTGTTTCCAAAAAAAATATTAAAAAATATTTTGCATTATAACATTATTTTAAATTGCCCTTCCAGTAACAATCCAATATCCTTTCATTGTTTAAATTTGAAATCCTTGCCCACCGCTGCCGAAAAAGAAATCCAACACAAAAATGATCCTCATTTTTTCTCGTAAATCTCCTCTCAGAATATTTTAACTGGCTTCTGACTTCTTGTATGTGAATTACATTAGCCAAATATTACCTTGTTAAGCGTTTTTGCCAAACTCACCTCCTCCTCTCCCTCCCCTGAACCACTGGAGGACGACCTCAAAAACATAGGGAAAGTGGATCAAGAATTTCCATAAAACAACAGCAGCACATTTTATTTACATTCAAATGCACCACGAATCCTCCTTCTTCTCCATTTTTTTTTTTTGGAGGATAAAAAATGACACACACACAAACATTTTCGAAAATGCAGTGACTTGGCAAAAATAAATGCATATGTGTGCGAATGCTTGAGACGAATATATTCCCATTGCTATAGCATAAATCCGCTCTAGAGCCATAAGCATAAAGTCCATGTGGCTGAAATGGGGGGAGTGGCTGCGGAGAGTGGGTGGAGTATAAAATTAGCATTATTAAAAAATACTTAAAATGCAAATCTTATCCTGACATTTTAACTCTCTTCGCTGCC